TCATTTCTCTATGGCAACCAGCAGGGATGCTTCTGCAGTCAAGTGGCCCCAAGGTGTGGGAAGAACTGTGGGAGGGAGGCTGCAGGGTGGGCAGGAATTTCTGTGTCCGGAAGCAACTGGTTCATTGGCTCAGCATCCAGGCTGAGCAGGAGGACAGAGTCACAGGTGGAGGAAGCCAGGCCCCTCGCTTGGAGCCTCAGGCTCAGGTCGGCTTGAGCTTCCACGGAGGGAAGAACTGACCCACCATCTCTACGGTTACTGTCCACGTTACTGCAGCCCAGGTTAGATCTGGGGTAGAGAAGCTTTGCCTGGCTCCACCTCCCCGCCCCCACTGGAATTCCCCGTTCACGAACAGCACTTATGGAGGGCTTGCGATGAGCTAGGCGTTAATCATTAGAAGTCTGGTGAGGAAGACAGATATTAAATAAAAATCACTCAAATTAAGCATGATGTAATGTGTGTTTATATGATCACTGCGAAAATCAGAAATGATAATTTGCCCTACGAAGGCAGAGAGCAGGTGCTTTGACAAGAGTAAGGGCAATTAGGAAGATGCAGAAAGCGCAGGAAAATAGTCATTTTCCCCTTGTGAGCACTCACCAAAACTGTTTAGAGCAGTAAGGCTGAAGACTCCTTGCACATTTAGGTCAGCTTTTGTGACAGGGTTTCACAACCTCAGCATTATCGGAGTTTGGGGCTGACCAATTCCTTGTTGTGCGGCCTGTCGCGTGCATTACAGGATGTTTAGCAACATCCCCGGCTCTGTTCACTAAATGCCAGTAGTGCCCTCCCCCAGCCCCCACTCTGTGACAACTGAAATAGCTCCAGATGTTGCCTGGGGTGATCTGTCCTTCAAGGATGAGGACAAATGGAAATGGCATTGCATGTAGAGATCCACTCCCATCCCGCTCCAATGCTTCAAGGATGAGGACAAATGGAAATGGCATTGCATTTAGAGATCCACTCCCATCCCGCTCCAATGGATACACACACACACTCACTCTCTCTCTCTCTCTCTCTCTCTGTCCTTTCGCTTTTCCAGGAGCTGATTTGGACTGTTCTCTCACCGACGACTGGA